AACCTTCACCGTCACTCTAAAAAGGTCAGAAACTGGGCCCCTTACCTTACTAGTTTTTTAATTTATTTCAACAGTGATCAGATTTTGTCCCGATAATCATTTGTGATAACTCCACTTAACTTTGTCGTTTTTTAGAAAGCAACTCATAGGTTGTCTATTCAGGTATTCTCTATTTGATCTATATTCAACTATTTCTATTTGATGAATTTATTATTCCAATTTCTGTAATAGTTCTGAATTTGTTATTGAAACAACAATGTCGGATTATTTCCACTTGGAAAAACATATTGCTATCTATATTTCCAAGTAAAAACCGATGTCACAACCATTTGAGATCAGGTTCTGATTGAAATAGTACCGACTACGGGAAGCCCATTTATTTAACATAATATTATTTGGAATTATTTTTTCTTTTAGCAAGAGTAAGAAATCTTTAAAAATGTGTCCAGTTGCTTTACCTGTTTAAATTTTCTTATAAGCCTTTGAGAAATTCTGTTGCTTCTAGAATTAATACTAGTTTATATTGGCTGCTTATATAATTTGAACAAGGAAACTGGGTGTATAAAACTGGAAATTATGGCGAAGAGTTTTATGTTACCCGTCTGACTTTATCGAAACATCTTCTATATCACTTCGATAATGCCACTTTATGCATTTATATCCTGCATATATAGGATTGCAGTGCAGAAAATACTTCGCTCAATTGCAGTTTAGCTTAAAATAAGAAGGATGAGGAAACGAGGAATGTATCTTCTGGATTTTGTCAGTGGAATAAATTGAAACCTTTTAGGGTAATTTCCTTAAAAAAATAACGTTAAACTAGCATTTTGGGTAATGGTGATCTACAAGAGTTTAATAAATTTCTTCAGAAATTGTTCCACTGAATCTACAAGATCAATTTTTTTCAGTAGAGCTGCATATATGGAATATAAAGATAAATGAATGAAATGAAATGATAACTTAGACGATATAATTACTTGGAATTAACATATAAACCAGAACAAAAATTCAGTAATGAAGAAATCAACTGGCTGAAGTCAACTGGCAGATCGGAAGGACAAAAGACTAATATTTTAATTACCAATGGCTGATATATCTTAGTCCATTTCTGCATATATGGCATTGAACTAAGCAAATCCTTCAAATAGGAAAACAATTCAAATTTTTTAAACTAAAATTTTTAGTGTCATTGTAAACGCCTCGTAGTATGCAACTATTAAGATCATAACGACTCAGATTTACCAATTGTTCAAAAATTGATCGGGAACATGAGCAATAAATTCACCATACAATTAACTAAAATATAAAACAAAATATTTAAGAAAATAATAAATACAAACTAACTTGAGATTGAAGAAAAATCCAACAAAAATGAGATAGAAATAAATGTAACACTAAATAATTTCCAACAGCGAATCTTCTCACTCAGAAGGAATCTGCACAAAATTCAACATAAGTATATAAAGTTATTGAAATAGATTTTTTTTTCTAATTATTTTATTAGAATAATGATAACAATAAGAACTTTTCGCGACTTCAATATCAGCTTCATGGGATTTTCTAGACACTGGTACAATTTAGGCACGATTTTTTTTCTGTCCAATCACAACTGCCTAGAAATCATTCAGCAATTATTATGACTAAACTATAGAATAATATTTTAAAATAGTACGCAGTGGTAGTCATTTTAAGTTTGTAAAATATATACAAAAATAATTATAAATCTGAATAGTAAATTAACTATCTTAAATCTAATGGGTTTAATCTTCTTAATTTCCTAATAGTATTTGTAGAGAGCAGGTTTTTCGCAAGTTCATTGGGATGGTTTACCAATCTTGTCTTGTATTTGGATGCGAATCTTCTGATTTTTTCTTCTATTGTGTATATATTGCAGTCTTGATGGATTAGCCAATAAGGAACGTACTTGGGTGCCTCCAGTATTTTCCTGAGGATTTTGTTCTGTGATTTCTGTAGGTTGTAGGATGTTTATGTTGGTTCGACTTGTACTACCCCAAAGAGAAAGGCCATAAGTCCATATTGGTTTCAAGACTACTTCATATACCACAAGTTTGTTGTTAGTAGATAGTTTAGACTTGGAACCCAACAGCCAGTATAGTTTTTTGAAATTTTCTTCGAGCTGAAATCGTTTTTTATGATGTGATTAGACACGAAATTACTGGATAAAATTGTTCATATCAGTTCCAATACCATCATGCTGTCTATAACGGATATGCCAATTTTTCCTCCTGGATTCTGAATTGACCAACATTTTTATCTTTTCTATAGTATAGTAGGGCAAAAATGTTTCTTATTGCTCTTCATATTTGATGGCACGCCAACTAAGAACTACTGCGTAAAATCAATTAACTGTTTTCTCAAACAAATTTTGCTGATACTTTTGCTCTAAACAGATAAAAATAATGTGGCTAAATAGCGCAATTTTAGAGCAAAAAAATATATTTGTATTAGAAAAAAAATATTTACATAATGCAATTATTTCTTGATTTATTTGGAATTGAGGTTTTACTATTACTAATATGTGGTTCAAAGTATATGGTTCGAATGTGTGATTACTTCGTTTAACCATCTGCAGATATAATATTTATATTATATACACTTAAATATATTGACGTAAATATATTGCCACGTGTTGCGATGTATCGCCCAAAGATCTATTTTCGTCGATGTATTCACACATTTTGGTTTTCACCATTAAACATTCATCATGAAACCCAGATCTGTCAATATTCTGGAGACATTTAATAATCGTAATGTGTTGCCTGTGTGTGGTTCACTTCTGACAGAAAATATTACAAACTGTCTCAGTGAAATATTGAACTACATGTATTCCATTAATATTCTTCCATATGAATGTATTTCAGTATAGTTTAATTTTGAGCTGAAATTAGCTCGTAGATCTTGCACAAAGAGTGGGCAGAAGTTCTTGTTTGGTATTTGTCAGTATTATAGACCAATAATTATTTTATATTTGTATAATTATTTTTTATTTGTTTGAGTATTTTTTCAGTTTGGAAATTTTTATTGTATTATGTGGAATATGATACAATATATATAATTGTGTACATGGTTTTCTACCTTAATGGTAATGAAAACATGCATTGCTATGATTCAATAGTTATAGTCAGATGAATCAATGTTAAGTAGGAATTTAAAAAAATGCACTTAAAGTGATTTTATTCATTTTATCAACCATTTTATTTACTTTTAACTTTTGTCCAATATCATCACCTTTTCTCTTTGCGTTTCTCATCCAATAGCAATATTTTACTTACATTTGATAGATATATTATTGAATTCATGAATTTATTTGTGTAAATAATTATTAGATTATTGATATTAAAGGTAAATAAATTATGAATGTGTTTACTTTATTTCGAGGTCTTCGAATGGACGACTATGTATTTAAGGGGCCGATTTTGCCATAAAATAGCCCCATGTTATGGTAATTTTGAATTTTTTGAAAATTTTGAACCTTTTTTAAAACAATCACAAGTTTTATAAATATCGAAGCGCGTAAGCGCCGCGTCGTAGTCTAACGTGTAAACATTGGTACGGAACTCATAAAAATGTACACAAAATTTGTAATCTCTATAAAATATCTGATCATATGATGTCTAATGATCATTTCTGACCGCCAAACGGGATCATTTTTCACTTTTTTATATTGGATTTTTAGACACGCTAGAACTGCCTTTCCTAAAATTTTCCCAGTTGTTTATTTCGTCAATACAAGTAAAATGTTTTTTGAATAATTTAAATCGGACGCTCCATTCTCTCAAAAACTGAAATACCATTTTTGGCACCTGTTTCCCTTTACCTTCGAAACGGCTATCCTTTGCCAAAAACTATTCAGCACGCCTTCTTATCAATACGAATTGAATGTTTTTTGAGTAATTCATATCGGTTGCTTTGTGTTCTCGAAATCGTGAATGAAAATTGTATCCGCACATAGATATACACACACATCCATTTTTTCTAAGGTATGTCAAATTTTTCAGAAACCTTTGAAACGTAAAGATGTATACAAAATTTTATTTTCGATTTTTTGCGATTACTATAAGTTTCCCTACGAGAAGTTAAAAACAACATAATTATTTGAATAAAAAAACGTTACTATTTGAAAAGACAATATATATATTGTCTTCAAATAGTTATCTTTTTTGCCTACATTTTTGTTACTCTGAAAATGCGGAACAAAATAATATATTTGAACTCTATTTCTTGAAACGTTCTATCAAATTAAGCTAATTCATTTCTAAAATTAGGCAAGTGCATTAGGGTTGCTTTTAATATGTAATAAGGTACGCTTCCTAAATGTAGACGCTTTGAGCCCGTCTCTACATTTTCCCATATACTGACGAGAGAAGGCTGATGAGCATCAACGTGCTACTCTTCAGTGCTTCTCGGTCCTTTAACGATGTGAGAGCGTACATCACTGATTGAATTATGACGCCGACATCTCAAATATTAAATATGGCACAGTGTGTCATGTTGCCCCTGAATGCTCTGACTCTGATATAATTAAATCGTACGCTTCAGTATACATTGCTAGGATACTTGGAGCAAATTGCTCAACTTTCTGTACCAGTTTTACAATCTGAGACAAATGTAAAGTTTCATCAGCATTGCAGATTTAGGCTTTAAACAAAAACCTGTTGTTATGGCCTATTTGCTCACTATAAGATAGACATTGAACTAATTGGCATTCACTTCACAAACTAACAGAAAAGTAAGACAGAAGGTAGAGCCTTGTAAGCTATCTGAGAAACTGCGAAAAATTATTTCACACCTTAAAAACATATTTTGTTTAAGAAAATAAATATTTAAACTTAAAGATCTAACCCTAACGTATTCCAATCTGACCTGCTGGGGTTTTATAAAGGTATAAAATTAAACAGAATACGTTATCTCTTGATTTATTAACTGGTAATTTAATACAATTATCGATTATGAATTCAGTGTGATGTTTACTTAAATGATCATTGCATTTCTTCATGTGATGTTTTATTTTCGACTTCCAAATCTCTGAGTGACTCGAGTGAAAGGCGTAGAGTATTCGGTAACTCGCTACGTAAATTTTTTATATTTGATATGTGCCCAAACAATTCCATAATTCTTTCACTCAAACCAACTGGTGTTCTAGCCATCAACTGCAAACATGGACCGACTACGTTTTCGAAGCTACTTACTCCCACGAAGTGCAGACACAGTGGTATCAGTGCAATAGCCGTCGATGGTCTTCTGTCATGCGTAAATAATGCCATTTCTCCAAAATATTGTCGCTCTTCGACGCGATTTACCATGATCTGCAAATCCTGACTCCCCCGCAAGTTTAGCGATACTGAACCATATTCAACTACAAAGATTCCACTTGCGCATTCACCTTGTTGATAAACGGATTCGCCTTCTTTAATATACACAGTTCTCATCTGTTCCGCAATACTTAGGCGTTCGCTTTCTGTTAAATTCTCAAAAAATGGAATATAATTTAAAAATTTTGCATTTTTCCTCCGCTGCGATAATCCAGTTCTTAGCAATATACGTCGAAATCTTACCCTGGAAATGGTCCATAAGGTACTATCAAGCAAAGCTATTACTGATACTTTGTTCACAATCGGGTGAAGTAAACTGTTTTCTCCAAAGTATTCACCTCTGCCACCAGTTCTTATCAATTTTGGTTCAGGAACAGGCGGTTTTATTTTTAATACTTCAAAAGCTCCATTTTCAAAAACCATAAATGAATCTATAGTTTTACCTTGCTCGAGAACGCATTCGCCTTTGCGAACAAATTTTGGTCTCATGGCATTTATAACATTCCGCATTCGCTCGTAATCCAATGTCTGAAATAAACAGCTTTGTCTAAGAGTTGAGGCAAGGAACTTTTTAGTCTCCATTCTTTTTTCCACTGGACGATTAGGTAGTTCTTGTTTCAATTTTTCTAAATCATGACACTCCGACCTCACATGCTCGTGATGCCCTTCTATAAATTCTTCTGTATCAAATTCTGCTAATGGTGTGACAGCCTGTTTCAAACTCAACTTATCTATATATTCTTTTTCGGCTTTATCATCTTGTCTTTTTTGTCTTAGTTTTTTGAAATAATCAATGGCATATATTATTATATCATCTGGTTTATCCGTTTTACATGACTCGGTGAACCTTGCAAGCACTTCTATAATGTTTTTATCCAACTCTTTTCTGCACTTTGCAGGCAGGGGGAAAAAATCATCCATATTTTATAAATTTAAATAGTTAGGAATTGTGAATAATTGAATTTTTAATTTTATATAAAGGATAAGTATATAAGATAATCGATTATAAAATGCGTTTACTTATCTCAGTATACGATCGAATGAAGTTGCTTTTAATCAATTTTTAACGACAAATCAAATTTTCTATTTTTTTATACTTTTTTTTACAAAATATTTACTTTTGATTTTTTAATCTGCATTTTATAAAGAAAGAGTCTTATCAAAATTATTTAAAAATAAAATGACAGATTGAAAAAAATAAACAAAAGAATGATAAAAGCCTGGACAATATTAGAATATAATGTATTCATATAGACGTTTTCCTCTCCCGATTTTTACGTTCAGAAGGGATACTTAAAGGGTCTTCCGCTCAGATGTGAAAGCACTACTTCTGGCATTCAAATTTAATTGGAAATGAAAATTAACGAATTTTAAAAATTTGGTATTTGAAACTAAATTTGGTATTGCAATCGTATTACCTTCTGGAATAATACAATAATAACAAACATATAATAGATAATATTATATTGTAATAAATATACAATCAAATGCCAGTTTGAATATACATAATACCTAATCTACTGGAATAACTTCACACTTTTTTAACTTATTAATATGAACATTTCGTGGAATTTAGTGAATTATAGTGTTGATTCATTACATCGTCTGTCATTCTTAACTCTCATTAACTGATAATCATCCCGTGCAAAATTTGACATTCTTAAGCAATTAATTTCTTTCTAACAGTAAGAATATTCAGATCCATTTGAAGTGGTAATCCAATTTAAACTGCTGGAAGATTTCTAAATATTATGTCTTTCTTGTCGAAGCTTTTGCTTGATTTCTTACATAATTTCTTTGAACTGGCCTCTTTTCTTAAGTTTCATATGATATGATTAGATTATACTGTCAATGCACTACCTAGTATTTATGAGTGAGCAAGAAGTAAAAACTGAATTACAGGAATGAATATTAACATATCAGATATACTTGAAAAATCGTAAAAATAATTGAAATAGAACTATAATCATTTTCGTCTTTTCGAACTTTTCGAATAAGTAATTTGAATAATTATAACTGTATCTGAGTTTTAAGCTGTTCTATTCATTTTGTCAAAGGGCTGTGCATTTGAGAATAATTCTTAATGAAATCTTTATTAGCAAATTAACAACTAACACAAAAATAACACTGACGTTTGTTACTAACCAATATAAAACATTTGATAATACTCGATATCGGCTCATTAGCGCCAAATTTGCGACTACATTTGGACTCCTAAGTAGCCTTTCTGAACGCGGATTTTGTTTTGAGATAATAATAAAAGTATCAAGCTGCTTTGTGGTCACTTGCACCTTTCAATGTTTCAATTGTTTTTATATCATTTTATAGCATTTTACAAATACTTCGTCCATTGTGTAGTGTAATTTGGCAATAGTAAAATGTCTCAACCGGAAAAAACTGATACACCGACCTCTAAATCAAAAACACTTGTTGCACCTCCAGAATCTTTGTATGATATGATGCTGGAACTATCTCTTAACTATACCATTGAGAGACCGACGAGATTTAATGTCTTCGCTGCCAACTACTTTAAAGGTGTGAGGGATTTAATTGCTGCATTGCGAATAAATGAGGAAATGGATACTTCCACAATAGATGAAATAGTTAGTACAATACCGAGTTCAGTATCGAGTGAATCGCAATACGTTCATCGCAAGAGCATCATGGCAGATCATTTTGATGAATGGAACCCACCATTACTCAGGCAACCACTTTTTATACCAAAAATAACTAGAGTCCGATCTTTTCTAACGAAAACCGTGAAGGAATGCTTTTTATTTAACGCATTAGACCGCCCTCTTTTGTATGACATCATAAGTTCCATGGAGGAAGAGATCATTAAGGGAGGCTATCTGTTAGTAAGGCAAGGTGAACTTACGGATAAAATGTATGTTTTAGAGAAAGGAGAAATGCAGGTCCTAATGAAAATTCCAGATGAGGGTACACAAGTGATTGACAGATTATTCAATGGTGCTATGTTCGGCGAATTGGCTTTATTGCATGTTAATTTTAGCAGTATTACTGTGCAGGCAATCACGCACACTAGACTCTGGAGTATAGATCGGGTTACTTACAGGACACTACTTCTTAATCATTCAGTAAAATTGAGGGATAAGAAGCGACAACTACTAGCTGGAATATCGTTTTTTAAAATTTTACATGGGCAGAGATTTGCAAATTGGCGGACGCTTTAACACCTCATACGTTTGCTAAAGGCACATGGTTGTTCAAAGAAAAAAGTTTGTCGGATGGTATGTATATTGTCGATAGGGGCATGGTCTTAATGTATGTGATCGGAGAGTACGGAAATCAGGTAATAGTTGGCCGATCCATTAATGGTCAAACATGTGGAGAAGCTGCTCTTATATCTTATTCGCAAAGGAGATACTCAGCAGTGGCAACTCATAAAGCCCGTACCTATTTCATTGATGTCGAAGATTTTGAGAGGCTGGTGGGTTCTTGTTTAAAAATTTTGAAGCGAACGAAATATGATTATGACCAAACGGTTGTAAGAATCTGTGGAACCAGGAATTTGGTAACTGATCTGAGAATACAGCCTAAGACTAAAAGTAAGAGTGAGCAAGAAGTAAGAACTGAATTACATGAATGAATATTAATATATCAGATATATAATATTTAAAAAATCGTAAAAATAATTGAAATAGAACATTATAATCATTTTCGTCTTTTAGAATTTTTCGAATAAGTAATTTGAATAATTTAAAATGTAGCGAGTATTACATTATCTAAATTTTAATAAATTGAATTTAAACTCTAATATAGTTTCATTTTATTCTCTACTATAAATCAATCTTTAATAAAATTATCAATTATTATTACTTTAAGATTTACTTAACCATAAAATGAAATATTAGTGTAGCATATTTTTTAATCATAAAACTCAATATATCTTCTTATAGAATAATATTAGAAACAAGAATACATATTACCAAGTTTCATATAAATTTTGGCACATATTCCTTGAAAGGGACCTCTAAACACAATCCTTGCGATTATTAGATTTTAAATTGATTGTTGAAAACTACTGTCAATAATGATAAAATTAAGATTATTGGTTGGAATGGTTTAGAACCAATGATTATATAAAATACAATGTTTTTATTCAAATGTGCAATAATGAATTTAGTTTTCACAAGCATACTATGTATATACATACTAACACTCTTCGATACATAGTGATCGTTCAACATTTTGTATATTAAATAAAGACTAACATCTTAATGCCTTTCTGTAGTTGCG